CCGTTGGGGATCTTATCTATATATATGTAAATCTTGATTATAGTCTATCTTTTCTGTATAGTGCTTGATATGTTCGCAGAGTGTGGTATATCTGAAAGTTGGACAAATCAATAAGACAACTTTTCTGTGACTCTGATGAGTTTCACGCTTACGCGATCATCAGACAGATTTTAATATTTTAATCTAATATATAGACAATAAATCGCCTCAGAGTCAGTGGCTAGTGGTGAATATCAACCTCGCTGCTTCACCACTCCCACTTTAGTGACTAGTTGCTAATTCTCAGGAGCCGATGGGGCTTCTGATATGATGTACTTCGTTACAAATTATACATCTTGATCCCCAAGCAAAAACTCAGCTTAATTCAGGTTCTTTAATTCTTTTTCTTGCTCAAACTGTTAGGTCTTTTAGATGACAGGTATTCATGACTAACTCAAAAATTAAGCAATGCATTTGTACCAGTGTTTGTCCTTCTCAACATTTTAGCTTGTCATTTTTGCAAAACCATTAATTCGTATCAATAATACTCTTGTTATTGGGTTATGACTTATTAAAAATCATACTGCTAAATGTAAATTGAGCGCCTGTGAATAACTTTACACACTTTTACGCATAAATAATATCATACCAAAGTTTACAGGTACGTATTCTGAAGTGTCAGCCGTCATTTCGACCCATTCCTCATGGGTGCACGGGCGAGAGATAGGGCTTCAACTGGGGGTTTGAGGCGAGGAGACCACTTACCTATCAGATTAATAGATGCCGGCGTGCGCGGAAAAATTGGGGTAAATTTTTTTATAAAAACCTATAAGAAAATCAGTGCTCTTGTTAATTTTTGCTTCTCTCGGTTTTTTCACAGACATAAACAACACCAAAGTGTGTGGATTGCGCGAAATCAAGAATTGCCTGGAGAGAGAGATGAGTATGTAGACATTTATATTACTTGGTTTAATAATAGTTATGATAAAATCTGTTAAATCGCGTGTATTTGGGGACGAATAATCTCGTACCCAGATCTTACCGTGTGATTGTAACTGAAATGTACACTTTCAATCGTTTGGCCGTAGAAGGTCTGAGTAAGAGACTGACAAACGAGAGTATACCAAGTGTATCATCAAGATTCATTTACATTCCAATTCCAACTGCCTGTCATCACAAATGAATGAGGCAGGCCAAGACGTAACTGGAATACTTCCTTAGCCTTTCACTGCATACCCTCAAAGCATTTACAGGAGGATTCCTCCCATCCACAAGCCCTCTCACAATGTCATGACAATGGGATTTTGAACTCGCTTGTACTTGGAAGGTCAAAAATTCACTTAAATGTTTTTATTGCTTCTTTCAGGCAACTTTCACATTAGAATAGATGACCAGTGTGAGTGCCCAGTACCTTGTGATTCAATCTCCTACAATCCCATATTGTCATACGCTGACTTTCCGAGTAACAATTTTATCGTTAATTATATCGAACAACAAGGAGGACCCAATCTTACAACAGATTCATTGGAAGAGAAGCAAGAAATATTGAGGTAATCGTATTGTAGTTTCGAAAGGTGAAAATTGTGTTGAGCCCTGGAGCAACAAAAGTTAAAGTGGATGAGCAAAAGTCAAACAAAAGTTAGCGAGCGTTGACCCTGAATTAGGTACTAAGGGTTGATAAAAGTTTGGGGAGGTTAATAACGAGCTTGGACGCTGAATGAGGTACATAGTGATCAGATTCACGGTAGGAGAGGACGGTAGTGCCTCCTAAGCCCCTAAATATGACCAGATGCGACTCAATTAGCCATATTTCTCTCATTTCAATGACGAGCTTAGTGTTATATCAAGTAACAGAATGATATCGATCCTCACAGGTGAAACTGAATTTAGAAAGATAATTTTCTTAACTCCCAGCGAGGAGTGTCAATAATTCAGTTGGTAGTAACACCTAACCGAGCTCCAAGGGGGCATGGGTTCGAGGTCCGCCGTGCTTTTTTCATCTGAGGTCATTTTGTTATTCGCTATCACACAAAGTTCGAAATACAATTTCTCTCAATGATTTGTGAGTCATAAGTCTCTTGGGGTCAGGTACATATAATACCAAACTGAAATTATATGAACAGCCGGTAAAATCAGAAAATGCTGACATTTCACTTGGGAAATGACACCTGAAAAAATCTGATCGCGGGATACGAGTGGAGCATTGTCCACGGCCCCACGCCATTTGGACCGTCAGTGAAATTAAATAGAGGATTAAGATTTTCCACCCCTGTAGCCGGCTACCTGCACTTAACTTTTTGTTTCATATTTAATACTTCAACAGCCAGAATATGCTGGAACTGCGCGTGTATTTTCAAGAACTCAATTACCAAGTCATCGAGGAAATACCTGCTTATAGCTATGAAAGTCTGTTAGGTACGTGTCGGCGTAAGATCCGCAAATTGGATCTAAGATCTCATGAAGTGCATGGTCCAGTCGTATGGGATAAAAAGATTTAGTCATTTCAGAGCAATCAGATTTTTCGTTGAGCAAAGCTCCGGGATGGCTTAATTTTCTGTCAGACTGACTGCTCCTTTCTAATTGTCACTTTTAGAACTAAATGATCTACTTGACGGTTGGGGGCTTAATTGCCAGGCCTCTGGAGAAGGTCCAGACCAAAAGTGACGTCACTTTGGTTATAATCCCGGTGTTTCTCAACTGCAAATTACTTCTATATCGTGCCGACAATTTTCTCCTTTCTATCGATCATGAAGGAACCCATAGTCTCTCTCCTATTCAAAACCTTGACAGCTATGGCTATGACAGTGACAATGAACATTATAGAAAGATCCTAGTTTATCACATCATAACTGTTGTTGGAGGTCAAAAAGACTAAGATCTTAATGCTTGCTTTTCACCACAGGTGAAATCGGCGGTCAAGTTGGTCTCTGTGTTGGCGCCAGTCTTTTGACGGTGCTTGAATTCTTTGACGTCATAATTACTATCGTCGGGATACGGCTGGGATTTAGATAAACTCACAGACTGAACCATATGATAGTTTTCAGTGAGGCCCTATACTACTATAAAAAAAATAGAAATGAGGCCTCTGTAGCTGAAGAGATTTAATTTAGCCTCAAGACACAAAAATCGCCCCCAAAATCATAAGCTTCAGCAAGCTTGTGTGGCTGCGAGTAACCTCGTGAATCACAAGCTTAATCAGTTGGGTCATTTTAAACTTAACGAGAGTCTTCTCTTTAATCATAAATGTTTATCCAAAGCATAACTTCTTTAGTTAACAAAGCAATCAGTATCATACTCGCGAATGGTCATACGCAATAGAAAGCAAAACGACTGCGGTAAAGCCTTTTTAATATACGTCATGTCATCCCTGGTAATGCCGCCCCAACTCACCTCTCCCAAGCCAAGTAACCAAAATCATTTCTCAGTATTACTATATCGCTATCTGTAAACTCAAGTCACCAAGTCTGAAAAAGTTGCTGAATTCAATAACTAATGGTGTAATAGGGTATCAGTCTCTAACAAGAGAATATCAACCAGTTAATATTCTCTTGGTCTGTAACTAGTCTTCATTTCTCTCCCCTAATTTCAACGCTTTTCCAGGCCTGATAACATACTCGAGTCGGATACGTGTTGCCGTAGGCGATTGAGTATTTCCAAGGAACTGACTTGAGGGATTGAAATGTGTTTGGCAAGAGCAAGCACTGCCATTCGTTATTATTGAACACGATTCATTGGTATTGACTTTTAGAATAGTTCAAAGTAATCGAGAGAATATCGGAAATCCTATTTCTTAAATAAATCGATTAGCCATTCTTGCCTCTATGAGAAACTCTGAAAATAAGATTGAAAACTTATTTGCAGAGATGTCCTAATTTGTCCGCTCCATGTATTGTTTAGTAACAATTTCTTTGAGCTTACCGAAGAACGTTGGACAACTTTGGTAAGTAGATGCATTTAAATAGATAAAAAAGGTTACATGGTGTCAATTTAGCAATTTCCAATGACCATTTTCAGACCAAATGCTTGAAAAAAGAAAATCTATCATTAAAACACTAAGCTTTCTTACTGTTAAGTTAAATGCCAGTGAAGGAAATCACTAATTTTAAGTCAAATTGAACCTTGCCAAACTTCATCTGGTAAATAACATTGCTTAGGGGGAAAAATGATCCAGGATTAAATCTTGTGTAAGTCAACTCCTCTTAGTGTAAGATGAAATTGGTAAACATCTGGGTGCTGGTCTAGAGACTGATCTGATTCTGTTAGACTTTGCAAAGGCATTTGACTGTCTGCCTCACCAAACTGCTTCAGAAACTAAGTTGGTTTGGTGTACATGGTCCTCTTCTCGCTTGGTTTGAAAACTACCCCAGCCATCGAATGCAACGCGTGGTCGTCAATGGATCTTTCTCAAACTGGAACCCGTTAAAGTCTAGTGTCCTAACCAAAGCGTAACTTCTTTACTTTTAAATGATGGTACTTATAAAGTAGATCTAGTAATAAAGGCATTTGAAACTGAGCCAAACGGGCCTGGAAAGCTATTAAGATACCGCGCAATGCACAAAAACATAAGGCAAGAGCATGGCTTAAATGTAACTAAAGATCAACTTTACCGAACTAGATCCCGACG